GTGGAACAGGAAAGAGGTGCATGCATGGGAGGTATATATAGGCCAGGCCTCAAAAGGTGCCATTACATTCTGCCAGCTAGAACTTAGTCATAAGGCCACAACTATCTATCTGCCAGGGAAGCTAGGAAATGTGGTTCATCTGTGTGCCCACAGAAAAAGAGGAAATGGATTTGGTGAACAGGGAGCCAGTCTCTGTCATAAGAAGGCACATATTTACCTTGAAGGATTGTGATAGGATTAGAGATGGATTTGATGATGTATGCTTGGCTTATTGGCCCATAGCCGAGAAGGGGGATACACTGAATGTAAAATGAGTAGTAGGATACCCAAGCAGAAACCAGATAGTGGGGCTGAGTTGGAATAGTGATAAGCAACAAGGGTTAAGGGATAGCAGAGCAGACACTCATTTAGGGATAAGAGGTTTCAGTTGGGACAGTCACTAATGTGGTTACCAAAGGGTTTTGGTTCTCTGCCTTTGGGCAATGCGGTAGGAATGCACTTCCTGTCCCACCCACCTGCATTGTTGGGTGTGTGGTCATGTGACTAGTCCTGGCCAACAGGCGGAAGTGATTCAGGTCACTTCTGGACTGAGCTTTTAATTGCTGGTTTGAGCTCCTGAGGGCTCTTTTCCCTTTGCCAATGGCCAGAGTGTTGCAGAGAGGGCCTGCTTCATTAGCCTGGGTCCTGGAGAAAGACAGAGAGTGGAGCCTCTGGGTACTCATGCAACATCTTATTTTTTTTTTTTTTAAAGATGACCGGTAAGGGGATCTTAACCCTTGACTTGGTGTTATCATCACCGCACTCTCCCAAGTGAGCCACAGGCCAACCCTCAACATCTTATTTTTAACTTGTATATTACTGCGGCATAAACTAGCTTATTCTTACTGATATAGACAGGCAAGAGGAATCAGATGGCATGTGAGGCAAACAAACAAACCAACCAAGAAAGGCACTCTTGTCCATTTTAGATCATCAGATCTAAGAACTAAGGGATCATGATTTTCAAAACATGCTTTGTACATTATTGTCACAAGGCAAACAAAGCAAATTCTTGATGGGCCTTGGATTATTTAAAACACCGATGAACCAAGTTTCAATAGAACCCCAGAAACACTCTCTTCCTTAAAAAATCATTTGTCCCAATTTGGAGAAAGTTTAAAGCTACAAAGTGCTAAAAGAGATGTTAAGGGAAGATTAAGACTGTATCAAATTGATGCTCTCCCTTCCCCCCATATAATCAGAATAATCAGAAGTAAGAGAAAAATGAAAACAGTAGACTGTTGGAGGAGATTGTGGGCAGTTGGCTGAAGCATTTTTATTCAGGGGACAAATTTGGCTACTTGCCTGTCCTCTGGGATCTCTAGAACTGACCTCCTGAATTAGGGAGGGCCTCCTGCACTGCTGATCGCCTGCCAGCCCTCCTTGCGCTCTGTACTGTGGACCAGCTCTGCACTGTCTTCCTAATTTGTGCAGTTGCGTCTTGGATGTCATTCACGTCATTCACAGTGCATGGTAACTTGACAGGGTGAGGGACTGCGGCCCTTTTTACTGTGTCCCCTAGACTGAAATGAGAGATCCAACAGGGCATCACAGCATCATACGAAGCTCTGATGTACCCAGCCAGTTGGTTGAGCTACCTACTAGAGCTCACCACGTAGACTATAAACTCTTTAGATGCAGGACCTATATTTTACTCATCTGTGAATAGCACGGTTATTACTTAAGAGCTTGCTTTGGATTCAGCCACATTCTGGCTTGAATATTGAGTCCACCACTTAATAACTGGGTAACCTTGGCTGGCCACCTAACCTCCCTTGCCCTATTTCATAGTCTGTAAAATAAGGCTAATAATGCCCCACTCCTTTGCCTTGTGAAAATCAAAAGGGACACTTGTATGTACAGCTGCTAATGCAGCTCAAAAGTCTTTTGAGTGCTTGGAAGAATAGTGGGTTCTATCCAGCCCAGGGTGTGTGATCTCAGTAGAGACTGTGAGTGAGCCTCCTTATCCAGAACTACCAACAAGTACGTTGTGACTGTATCAGCGGCAGTTTTAAGGAAAGTTCCTTTGCCAGAGGCTGCAAATACTATAAATTTGGGGTTGAACAGTGTTTACCTCAAAGAAAGGGGCTGGTTTTCATTTTACCTGCATTAATTTTTACGTGCATTTAAAAATACATGAAATTTAAAATAAAGATAACTTTCCTAAGGGAAAAAAACGTTGGGCTGACAGGGTTGCCTGGCTTATTTGCCGAATTTTTAGCTCTTTTATAGATAGCAAGAGCAACGAACAGAGAACACTAATAATTACTTCATATTAAAACGGCAGCCAGGGGCGGCCAGTGGCTCACTCGGGAGAGTGCGGTGCTGATAACACCAAGGCCCCGCGGTTCGGATCCCATATAGGGATGGCTGGTTTGCTCACTGGCTGGGCGTGGTGCTGACAACACCAAGTCAAGGATTAAGATCCCCTTACCGGTCATCTTTAAAAAAAAATTTAAAAAAATAAAACGGCAGCCCTATTTCTGTTCGGACCTGGGGGAAGAAACAATATAACAATCCTTCACAGTAGCAAACCTTTCTTCGTAGGACTTTTAACCCAGCTTCCGTATAGCATCCTAACCTTCTTAAGTCTTTCTGGGGAATTGTTTCCGACCCTCCCTGACCCCAGGCAATTGCTGGATGGAACGACCCTTAGGCGTGGGAGGAAAAGACG